CCCATTAGTTTGCCCAGGCCACATCAGCCGAGATACAGCGTCCTGTCTCAAAGATAACTGTAACATGTGATGCATGGACGTCCATTGCCACAGAATCTTATGTCATTGTAACTGCGCATTTTATCACAGATGAGTGACAGCCTGCGTCTCATGTGCTCCAAACAAGAGCAGTGAATGAGAGCCTTCCAGTTGACATCGCTTCCGTTTGATTTATTAATAAAAGATATTGGAAGTAGATTTATTATGGACTATTACAAATACTTTGCTTTAAAAGTTCCAAGTTGTCACACAGTGAGAAGAAAAACAACACATCACTGACATTGCTGTGCTCTAGTTGTACAAGGAGATAAAAACTTTAGTGAATAAAGACTAAAAAGGTATATTTTGTCTTATCATTCCATATGTTTACACAGATTTTAGAATGAAAAAGAGAAAGCATCTGAAAACAGGGGTTTTCTTCAACTTTATTAGTACCTTTCAGATGGTAGTATTTTGGTTTAATAAGTCTATTAATGAAATTGGCATTAACAGTTACTAAAACTGTAGTCGTTCAGAAGCAATGTTCCATATTTTACTGATATGTGATGCTTTTTATTTGCTTTTACACTGGACAAAAAATTGTTATTGTTTGACACAGTCTCACAATGGTACCACATGTGAGAGTATGAGAGTATTTTCTATAAGCTATCGCTACTTGTTTTCCTTTTATTTTGCACAGTTATTTAATGAACTTTTGTGTTCTGTAAAAGTATTTGAAAAATGACAGAGAGAAATGAGAACACATTAATACATTTGCCAAGGGACACTTCTGCTTTGCTAACAAAGTGACAATGAAGATTATGTTGACCCCAATTTTGTTAAATGTGTTTTAGCGATAAAAAATTGTAATAAACCTATAACAATGTGAAACATAGTTATTATTATCATAATTATTACTTTACATATTTACATTAAATAGTGAGTGAAGATGAAATAGTTGTTCAGGTTCATGTGGAAACCCATTAAATGCCTGGTGGCATTGTGAGATAAGAAGTGTCCCACCTTAAAATGAGCTTCAAATAAAAATCTGCTCCTTTTGTGCAAAGACCTTAACATGGTAAATGCCACTTGCTAATGACTTATATATTTGAAATATTTTTGAATATTTGTTCTTCATTTTACCTGTCCTGACATTTTTTTTTGTTAAAATCCTAAAACTCGTTGTTCATTTCCATGTTGAAATGGGAAAAAAAGCCCAGATTTTTAATGTGGTCTCAGACTTTTGGACCCCACTGTGTATATATTCTATATTGTTTACTAAACTGAAGTGCAGTACTAAAAATGTGAGTTGAGAGAACCTTTAACTCAACTAAGAAGTTGAGTGAACTCTAGTACCCTCAAATTGAGTTAACTCAAAAGACACAGTGTAACAAGTTGAGCTGACTTTTCATTTTTTACAGTGTACCTTCAGAAAAAGTAAAATAATGTAAAATCCAGGAAGCTATTTCAGATCATCACCACTCACATTTGGGCACAGGGCACAGCTTAGCTTTGTTCTCTTGTTATAAGGACATGATTATGCATGTGGTAAATAACCTTGACGTAAGGTTACCTTTAACATTTAATTGATTTAGTTAAAATCTATTTTACATGCATATTTTACCTCTAGAACAGGAGTATCTAACCATAGGCGTGTCTAACCCCTTTTTAGGGGTGCTATTGAGTCCCTGCACCCCTAAAAATAAGAGTAAAAAGTGTTTTTTTTTGTTTTTGTTTTTTTTTTTTAACGGAAGTTTGTCTCTGGTAAGCAAATACTATGATTCACTTTCTCTCTCCTACTCTTTCACTACCCCGAAGCCATGCATTAGCTCACTATAGAGCCAGTAGAGCCAGTTACAGTGTGACTGTGTGGTGTGTTGGCTCCAGTAAGTGGCGCACACCAATATTTCTTATCACTCAGCATCAACACATTACAGTCATTAGCAGCAATCCTCATTTTTGCTTCACTGAATCACAGATCACTCTTTATGTTGTAATTGTCAGCTATCTGATGTTTTTTTATCTAGCAAGCCGATGTTACAGGTTGTCAATCAACAACCATCCACTGTTTGAATTCGAGTGAGAAAAGCTAGCTATTGTGCCAATGGTAGGCCTATGTTGATATTAAAGCCAAGGTGCTAGACTAGTACTGTCTGTATTCGTATCAGCTAATTAATGTTAAACAATGATAGACCTTATGATGAGAAAAAAAAACTGGTGGTCTCATTGGGTGCTCAGCACCCCTAAAGCTCTGATCTTAGAATCGTCCCTGTATATAACTCTGGTCCTGGAGGGCTGGAATCCAGCAGTATCTAAGCAAGAATATCACCAAACAGTGCCCTCTAGGACCAGACTTTAAGACCTCTTCAGTAGAAAATTCCTCCTGCACATTGTTGTGCTTTTTCTCTCACTGTTGTTCACTTTTCTGTTCATCTCAGTTCTTCTCCCTGTCAGAGGCTATTTATTGTCAGAAGTTTTTTTTTCATTTTATTGTCAGAGGTTGAAATGCAATGCCGGAACATGATTGTGATTTTTTAGTTAATGAAGTTAATGAAGTTACTGGAATATCACTTTCCATTGTTATATTACATTAGTAAAGGTTGTGTCAGGGAATATTCATGTTCCACACTTTTGTATATAAAAGTAAACACAGTATAAAATATAAAACATAAACATTCTCAGTGAGATGTTTGCATACTGTTGATTCAAAGTAAAAAAAAATGTAACTCAGGCTACCAGGCTGGACTGGGCTGTTTGTTGTAACACACACATCATAGGCAGTAGGTCAATAGAGCGAAAAGAAGTAAAATCACAGCAACTTGGAGCACCAGCAACATCAAATAGACTGTTCTAGCCCTTTATGAACTACAGGAAAATACGTGATTATTTAAATTAACTTCAACACACAAAACAAAATCTTTGACCCTAGACAATCCAAACAGTAGGTCTATGGCACGAGTGAACAAGCAGACAGTAGATTTGTATATTAATACATTCAGACAAACGAGTAGGATTATGGGATGGTCATTGAAAAAAAAGTAAGGCTTTTATTATTTATAACGTATTTTGGATAATTTTTTTTATAAAATCTTTCTTCCAATCATATTGTGGTGGCACCTCTGTTTGCTGCTCTGTGGGGAGTGGACCACGCCCTTAGTAAACACTGTTTAGCTCGTGTGGTGTGCTTCAACCTCACTTCACTTTTTAATTTAAGCATGTTCAAGTTAAAAAATGCTGGACCAGGGCATTTCCTCCCCCTCTAGATTTTCTCTCTGCACCCCCAAGTACAAGCAATGTCCTCCTCTCATGTCTCTGGTACAAGTCAAGTGATTCATTTGAGCACTGTATTTTTTCTTTTTGTTCTTTGCACCATTTCTTCTTAGTCAATAACAAAATAAGTTTTTGATATACAATATAAAGAGATAGCTGTTTTGCAGTTTTGATCTATAGATAATAGATATAAATAATATGGCACACACCTTCAACCAGCTTGGGATATTATTCATTTCGACAGCTTTCAGGCTAGAATTGATAAATTCATATTCTTCATGAGACATTGTTAACTTCAATTATATGTAGTGTTGGTGCTTACTGATGAGACAAAGTTAAAATTAACCAAACAAGGACTTTTACAAACCCCTTTGATAATGCACAGAGTTAATGCTTTTAAATATTTATGAAAGGATTCACTAAAAAAAGTGCAACATATAAAGTAAAGTGGCACAATGCATGTCTTAAAAGCTTGAAGTGTCAGTGTTCCAACTCAACTCCAACAGAGGAAACAAAACTCTCAACTGAAATGATTCTTGTTTATTTGACAGTCAGTTGTACATTCATGCAGAATAGCTAAAATCATAAACAGATGAACAAAATTAGTTGCCAACCCAATTAAAATATCATGTGGCCCCCTTAAACTATCACAATAGTGTAGTGATACAGTAATTAGTATACTCAGAGATTGAAGCCATCTTTAGAATTTGCAGAGACTACAGTGGATTTGTGATTATTAGGGTGTTGGCAAATAATTACACCTTTATGTCTGAGCAAACTAAGGATGCAGGGTATTAAAAATGATAGTATAATTTCATGATTAATGAAACTTGATTCAGTCTGCTTACAAATATAAGGATGGACTACAGGTCATATGATTTGTAACCAATCGCCCTGCAGAGTAATTGATATCTTCTGAGTATTTTACCAGTGTCTTTCGTTAATTGGTTCCCAGCACTTCTAGTTGGTACTTACACATTTTATTGCTGTTAATTCTGTCATTATTGACTAAATAATATATTAGTAGTTTAGCACTGCATTTTCTTTTGTAACACATCATCTATTGTTCAGATATCAGATATTATGGACATTTGCATGCTTACTATCTCTCTGCCTTAACCATGTCATAACCTCTGACATGATTTTTGTTGGTGTAGTGCAGTGGGTAACACCTCTGCCCTCCTTGTTACAGACTATGGGTTCAGTCACCTGCTTGGGCAAGCACCCTACACTAAACTGATGAGAGTCTTAGCAAGACTCCTAACACTGCCTTTGCCTACCTCTGTAAAAAAAAAAAAGATCAAATTGTAAGTCACTCTGGATAAGAGCAATTTACAAATGCCACAAATCTAATCAGAGACCTCTGAAAATAGTTCACCTTTGTTACAAGTGGGAATTTTGGTATGGCTGCCCTGTGTTGGCTGACCCTCGGCATAAGCTGCATTAATGTAATGATAGACAGATTTAGTTACGTACAAACAAAAAACAGCACTAGAGTAATGCTATTTCATTTAGCTATTTTTTCTTGCAGTGCACCACTCTTTATCTGGCTTTATGTTTTTAAAAGTATCCTGATTGGTCAGTCCACTATGTGCTTCGGGCCAGTTTCATACCCCTCTTAACAATGGACCTGAATATTACATGAATATTGTGCTCCACTGATATGTTGAAATTCAACTGGTTTGCCAAATTGCACTGTAATTTGTGTTCAGATGTCCCACATCATGAAGGAGCCAATATGTCTGATCAGCAGCGATCATGAGGGACAACTACGTGTTCAAGAAGAAGCTAAAGCAATTCTGGATGAGATAACTCAGCCAGTGGTGGTGGTGTCTGTGGTGGGGCTTTACCGCACAGGGAAGTCTTACCTTATGAACCGCCTGGCAGGGCAGCAAAAAGGTAAGAAAAACTTGCAAACCTGAGAAAATGTATTAGAATAATACTCTCAATGAGATCTTATTTGACTAGCCATACCTAGACCTGTCACAATTATGAACACCTAACTGCAATTATTTGAGATGATTGCAATTATTTAAGCTGACTGCAATTCTTTTCCACAGTCATTAGATTTCACACTCATATTATGGCACAACAAACAAAATGTGAATTAGGTGCATTGAGGCAAACATATCGCTGTTGTCAGAAGAAAACCATGTATCTCCAAAATGGAATCAGACATTTTTCCAAGTAATTTCGGGCTATTTCTTTTGGTCCAAAATTATGTCAAAAACTGAAAAACGACAAAACTGAAGATACAAGGTTTTCTTCTGACAGCACACACACACACATCATCTAAACCGCTTATCCTACTGGGTAAGTGGGGTGCTGGAGCCTATTCCAGCTGTCATTGGGCGGAAGGCAGGATACACCCTGGACAGGTCGCCAGTCCATCGCAGGGCAGACTCTTCTGACAGCAGTGAAATGTAAATAAAAGAAAACAGTAAATGCATTAATTGAGACATCATGTGGCTTATGAAAAAGTTGTAATTTCTAAATTGGTGCTCTAACCTGTTTAGAGGGCAGCGCTGAGTAATGTTTGTTTATTTGTTATGTATATAGGTAATTCCAATGTTATTAACATGTTTGCTAGCAGTGATTCCTTATATTTTCATTATTGTGAAGAACAAATAACTTTGCTTAACTATACAAATAATTCTGTGTAAATATAGACATTTGTGTGAGTGTATTGTTCTGACCATATAACCAGTTTTAGCTACTAAGTAAATATAGCTAGCAGGTAAGGTGGCTAATCTTTAGGCTTTGGCCACTTTAGGCATGTATTTTAATAATTACAAACAATGAACAAGAAAACACAATTAAATCATTAATCACAATTATTTATATGACAATAAATCATCAGCTAAAATGTAATGATCGTAACAGCCCTAGTTATACCCAGTATGAATTTGTGCATGCTGGCCTTTACCAACACATGTGGTGGAATAAAAAAATGAGACACTAAGTGGATTTATGCAAATGCCTGTCTCAAAAAGATTACAATGTTTTCCAAGCAGTTATCATACACTGTAAAAAATGATTTAAAGTGTTTTTGAGTTTTGATTTTATGTAAAATGTTGCATCTAACCTATAATTGTGCTTTGCTTCATTCAAAGCATTTTGAGCTGAAGAAAACCAGTTAAAATGCTTATATTGTAGTGACTCTCAGAGTATGACACCACTACTCCGAAGGCTCTGATTTTGTTCAGTTTCCCAGTGAAAGAAGTCTATAAAAAGCCCACAATACAATGCAAAAATTTGAGTCAACATTCTTGAAAATTATGTAAAGTATCTTTTGTTCTTATTATCGTTCTTCACAAACATTTGTTAGTAACTATGTAGTTACTTCATAGCAGTTCAAGAGCAATGTTGTTTTCTTTGATCCTGCCTAGGTTTTGCCCTAGGCAGCACCATTGAGTCGAAGACTAAAGGTATCTGGATGTGGTGTGTGCCACACCCTACTAAAGCAGAACATACTTTGGTGCTGTTGGACACTGAGGGACTGGGGGATGTGGACAAGGCAAGGCATTTTCATAGAATCTTCATTTCATTCCATTTTGTTCTTGTCATAAATGGATATAGTCACATAGAACATATGGTGCTGTACTTGTGTCATGTCACCTGACCATACAGTCTCTTCTGATTGTCAGAGTAGTTGGTGGAATTTGGTGCTAATTGAGTCCTACTGGCATTTTTTAAGGGTGATGAAAAGCATGACACCTGGATCTTCTGTCTGGCGGTTCTGCTCAGTAGTACTCTGGTCTACAACAGCTTAGGGATAATCGACAACAATGCACTTGAGAAGCTGCAGTATCCTTCACCAAATGTCACATACACTCTGCATCATGAATTCAGAGAGATATACACACAGGTACAGTTGCTTTCTTGAACAGCGCCCTCTGCAGCTATGTGACAGAACTGACCGAGAATATTCGGGTGAAGGCACAGAGGGGCGCTGACGATGATGACTCAGCAGAGTTCATGCGCGTGTTCCCGTCATTTATCTGGGCAGTGCGAGACTTCACACTGGAGCTGAAAAAAGAAGACCAGCCCATCACAGCTAATCAATACCTGGAGAGTGCTTTGGTGCTCAAACATGGTAAGAAAGTCTAAACACATAGATACACACACACACTCATTTACACTCTTGTAGTCTCTAAATTAAGAGTTTGAATGGATCATTGCTACTATATTAGTGTAGCTAAATGCTGCTACTACACTAACTTTAGTACAGCATCTCAGGTTAAAGCAACAAAACCCCCAAATTAGTCATTGGTAATGCCCATCCATGGACTACAACTCCCCCTATCACACAGTACCATCAACCTGGAGATGTGAGGACTGCCTCCTCTCAGACTGCTTTCAGATAGATGGCTGAGGAATCACTAGGTTTTGAACTCATGAGCTTTTAATGATTAGGCAGTTAGATGACTGTTTAAATTTCCACAAAGCCACAAAATTGCTTACATTTCTGTGTCCAAGTAAGAATGAAAAGGTGAATTAACTCAGAGCAGTGTGACATGTGCTTAAATAATTTCATGGTATTTTAGGGGCTTAAATTAGATGATGAGTTAATTTTCTCATCTAAATTTATGAAGTTGAGAACATTTTTAAAAAGCTATGCAGAAGGTTTACTTAAAATGTCAAGCTGACCTCACAGTGCACATATTTCACAGTGCACACACATACACAGTATCTGCGCTATATGTAAACACTTTTTCACTGGTGCTCAGAAAAGGTGGGAGGGCAATGCTTGTGTCAAGTCTAAGCACAGACATATATATTTGTAAATATATGTTTAATTTGGGTTTCCTTATTTTTAGGTACTGTGACCCAGAAGGATAAGCAGTTTAGAAAATGTGTGTGTGTGTGTGTGTGTATGTGTATTTCTAGGTAACTCTGCTAAAATTGAGCAGTTCAACCTGCCCAGGCGTTGTTTGCGGAACTTTTTCGCAGAGCGGCAGTGTTTTGTGTTTCCACGGCCAGCCGGAGATGATGACCTGAGGAGGATGGAGGAGCTGACGGAGGTGGAGCTTGACCCACGGTTTCTGCAGCGGGCTAAAGAGTTCTGTAACTACGTGTTCAGCAATGCCAAACCCAAAACCGTAACAGGAGGACGTACACTTACCGGCACCGGTCAGTCATTACTGATGGAATCTATCCAAGCAAAGCTTACTGTTTTAAAGGGCCCACTTTCTACATTTTTCTTGTATTTTTTCTTGATTTCCACTTTTAACATTTGTGCGGTTTTACAGACAAACAGCAGTCATAGTTTATTTTTACAAGACCATTTTCCAACCTTTCTTTATGATATAGAATTAAACAGGCTGTTTTGTTATGTAGATGACCTCTCTTTAACACATGAGGAACATTTGGTTTTCCACTTTGAAGTCAAAATTGGTGATGAATGAATGAATGTACGAATGGATGAATAAATAGATTCATGAATGGGGGTATACTTATAAGATATGTATAGGTAAAAAAGACATGTTCTTGAAAGACTAATTTAAATATAAAACTTCAGTGATTTCAGACGCAGTACAGCAGTTCATTTTTTTCCTACTTTGGTGGTCTCTTTTAGAAATGTCATGGAATTCAAATCAAAACCATTTGAATTTATGTCAGTAAGTCTGATCACAAATATGTTTATAGGGTAAAATCTAACGAGATTTGATCCACAGAACGTATTGTATTGCAACCACGTTAATATCATCATCATCATAACACCCCATGACTAAATAATAATGTTCTCTGCCAGTTCTGGGCAATCTGACAGAAGTATATGTGGAGGCCATCCGTAGTGGTCGGATTCCATGTCTGGAGAACGCAGTGGAGACTCTGGCCCAGATCCAGAATGGGCGAGCAGTGGAACAGGGCCTGCAGGTCTACCGGAGTGAGGTATTCGAGTATCTGTGCTTTCCACTGGACCCGGCTGAGCTTTCCGACATCCACGCTCAAGCAGAGAAGAAGGCAGTTGAGGTCTTCATCAGCACTTCCTTTAATGACACTGAGCAAAAATCACAGCTGGAACTCATGGTACATCACAGATACTGAGAAATAAATGCTAAAAGGCTTATTTTTTGCAATGTTTTATTATTTTTTCTTGATAAACTTTATCCACTTTATTTTTCACATGACCACTGTGTTTCGAGATTATGGCTGAAATATCTTGTTTAGGAATGAAAGTGTCATTTATTACTGTTTTTAGCCTACTTTTTAAGTTTTTGTTTTGTTCCATTCAATGTCTCTGAGTGATTTTGGAACAACATGCAGTTTGGGGCTGTCAGGAACAGCAATGTTATAGGCATGAAAAGCGCAGTTAAATAATTTCACTTACCTGCCTGTTGTATTTAAACTAGAGTTAACATCAAAATCCAGTATTGCTCGGTGCTAATGCCACTAGCATGATGCTAACATACCATGGAGAGCATACGAGGAGCATTATCATACCGCTGGTTTAAAAAACTCATTTCTATCATGATAGGCACAGAAATAAGGTGGATAATGTATTTGACCTGTGTTTATTTTAGGGTTAGCCATATAAGATTTTATTTGGAAAAAAAGAAAAACTCTCACTGTCTCTCAAATATACACAAATCACTCACTCTTTTTTCATTTTTTTCTGTCTGCATTCCCAAAGAGGCAGATCCAGACTGAGTATGAGGAGCTGTGTAGTCAGAATCAAGACGAGTGTATGCGTGTGTGTCACTCAGCGCTGGAGTGTGTGTTTGCTCCTCTGGAGGAATCTCTGAATGATGGCTCCTTCATGAAGCCTGGAGGATATCAAGACTATCGAGACACACTCAAGCGCCTCACAAAGGAGTACAGACAACGCACACTCACACAGCTAATGGTGTGTCTGCCCACGCAGTCTGTTTGTTTGCTTATGTACAGACAAAAGTGAAAAGCATTTGGGGGGCATCCAACCTATGTGTCCCCACCCAACCCAGCATTATCATTTTGTATGCCAGAACTAAAAAACTAATTAACTAAACAAAACTAATTAATACTTTTATACAGTTTTGATATTTTTTACAAGAATTTTAATACTTTTTATTTTAATTAAGAGAAAGTTAGTTATGGCCTATAGAGGATAAATAGAATCTGCTAAATTATATGTCAGACAAAAACCTTCTTTATCACTTTACAAAATTGTAACTTTACAGGAGAAGGAAAAAGATTTATAACCCTGAGTATAAGTTAAAGGGGTTTTATTGCAGGTGATTTTGGACCATTTCTATTGGTCCATTCATCAGGAAATTTTCTCCCAATGTAAAGTGTAGCTGGCATTTTAAATATCCAAAAAATTAAAAACACTGACAAAAATGGAGATACAAGGTTTTGTTCCGACAGCAACAATATATAAATACAACAATGAAACAATAAATAATGTACAATAAATAGCAAGAATAGCAAGGGATCCTGTGATAACAGTAACTACACTATTAAAATACACAGTGTATTTGTGTATAAGTGTGCGTTATGCATGTGTGTGTGTTTACAGAGTGAGGAAGTGTTGAGTCAGTATCTAAAGGAAAAGGAAAAGTTTGCGAAGAGTATTCTGGCAGCGGATCATTGCCTTTCTAAAGCAGAGCAAGAGATGGAGGGTAAACAGAGACACACACACACACTCTCTCTCTCTTTCTCTTTCTACCTCTCTCTCTCTTTCTCCCATTTAAACCACAAGTAGTCTCTCTCACACATAATACAACCCACATTGGCACTACAAAAAATAAAACACTATGCTTGCAGGGATGGGTCCCAGCAGTGGTGTAACTATCTTAAGACCCTCCCCCATCTGACAATTACTTTCAGTTAATAAAAATGAATGTAATTTGTTGGTTTACTTGTTACTGAACTTGTTTCAAACAACTTGATGGTCTCTAGGCCTGCCACTCTACTCTACTAGCATCTAACTTTAACCTGAATGTTTATGTTAGCGGGGCTGCCAACTCTCACACACTGGCTGTGAGACTTTTAAGTCTAATCTCATGCTCTCACGCTGCACTTGACATTTCTTACGCATTTTTACATCTCTCCTCAAAACAACCCAAAAATTATCAGTATTGAACAAAAGCAGAACTTACCAGCTTTCAGTTTTTGCTCCTCTTAAGGTTTACCTGTTGTCACTCCTCACTTAATGTGACAGAACATCATTTTATGTAAGTTATGCAAAATGTTCTATGTATGTATTAAATTTTACTTAAAAGTAATGATTTTATTTTGAACGGGTGTTTATGGTGATGATGTGGAAACAGGTCAGATTTGAGCCAATTAAAGATCTGATGCTGATACAACGTTTTAGTAATATTTAAGATAGTGTTTTAGGCTAGAAAATTAAAAATGTCTGCATTCCTAAGAAAATCAAATGTTGTTGACCCAAACTGCTCTCACAAAATGATGCAGAAAATTAATTAAAAAGTTTTTGTGTTAAACATTATATGTAATGGCATTCATCACTGGTAACAAAACATTTATCAAGAACCTGAAATAGTGAGCATAAGGAGTAGCACTTTCTCTACTTCAGGAGTCTCAAAGTACTGGCCCACAGGTCTGCCATATGTCTGATTAATTTAAGACATAACAGTAAATAAAGCATGTCAGAATGAAGAAATTAGCCAAATTATCAAGCAATAAAATAACTGCTTTCCATTCTCAGCAGTTCGCTCACAAAAACTTTACTTGCATTCAGCAGAAACATCAGTGCTATCATAATAATCCCATGCAATTCTACTGTTCTATGTAGTCCAGATAAGTAGCTTTTTAAATGTAGTTTTTCTCAGGTGCCTAAACCTTTTGCACAGAACTATATGTGTGTGTGCATGTTTGCGTAATGTTGCTTTTTTATCTCTCAGTGGAGCAATTAAAAAGAGAGGCTCTAGAACAGAAGCAGAAGGCTCTAGAAGAGCAGAATCGGCTGCAAGAGCAAGTGTTCCGTGACCAGCAGAAAACCTATGAGCAACATATGCACCACCTGCTGGAACGCATGGAGAAAGAGCACGAGAGAGTGAGAGAGGATAATAAACAAGTGCTGGAAGCCAAACTCAAAGTAAGAGATGAAATGAACTTTATTACTATGTATATGTTTGACTGTTGCAAGCAAGGATGCACTGATTGATTCTCTGTCCATGCTTATTCCAAAATCTAAACTCATACAGAGTACCAATCTGATACCAGTACTCTATTAAGAAGCTCATGTTTTGTAGTAGCACAGTATATACAATTAAATATACAGTAGAGGTAAGTGTATCGTAGTGGTGATGTTTATATTATTGTACAACGTTTATTAAATTACACTAATAAATTGTATTCTTTTTGAATGTGACTAATATCTAAAGAGTTTAATATGGTTAATATCCAGTTCAAATAAAGTATACTGGAATGTTTCATCATACTTGTTGAATGTTGTGTGTGATTGTATCTCGTATATGCTGTGCTTCAGGCATGTTGTACTACGGTTGTATGCACAAATAATTTGGAACGTTTGGCCAAATTAACATATTTTGTAGATTTTTAAGTGAAAAAGCTTCTTGCAAAATTCTCATATGACAGCAAATCATCTGCAAGAAGCTGTAGCTGACAGAAGTCTTGCTTGCACAAACATGATCTTCATGGAAGAGTCAACAGACGGAAACTTTGCCTACAACCTCATTACAAAAGTCAATGTCTGAAGTATGCATAACAACCTTTAGATAAGCCAGAGGAAGAAATAAAAATGGAACTCTTTGGCCATGATCACCAAAGGTACGGAGAAAGAAAAGGAGCATTAACTGATTAATAGAACAGATTGCTAACTGTTAAACATGAGGGTGGCTCTATTATGCTTTTGGGTTGTGTGGCACAGTCAGTGGCACAGGAAACATGATGGGTGGCAAGTGTGACCCAGTTAGTTAAGAAACAGAAGAGAAAAAAAAAGTCTGGCTTCTACAACAAGACCCAAGTGATCCAAAATATACCTCAAGATTGAACATAAACTACTAAAAGGAATGCAAGCTGAACCTTTGGAGTGGCCCTCACAGTCCCCTGACCTGAACATCTTGGAAGATCTGTGGGTAGATCTTAAAACATGCTATGCATGCAGGAAGGCCCAAGAATATAACACGGCTAGAACTGTTCTGCATGGAAGAGTAGGATAAAAATCCTAAAACAAGAACAGAAAGACTCCTAATTGGCTAAAAAAGGCATTTACAAACTGTGACAACTCTGGAACTGTGCCAGTGTAGGTGTTACTAAGTATTGACTCAGTAATGTGTTCAAACATTTGTACATGCCAAAATTACTACTTTATTTAAGTAACTGTGCATTAACATTTGCAGAAAGTTGACATTTATAAAAGTAGTTTGCTGCAGAGTGTGCAGGGGTAGCCAGGGGTACCCAAACTTTTGCATACAAATTTGTGTGTGTATTGAGTGTACGGTCATACAAAACTAGAAGCTTTTTGTTGTACCATCTACTTACATAGTTAAGATAAAGTCAAGTGCTACAAATACTGTGTGTATGTGTGTGCCTGCGTGGGTGTGTGCATGTGTGTGTGTGTTTCAGGAGCAGGAGGCTCTGTTACAACATGGTTTTCAGGAAAAAGCTGCTCTGATGCAAAAGGAGATTGAGAGCCTAAAGCATGAGATGAAGAAAGAGGGCGAGTCAGAGCGCTCTACATTCAGTAAGGTGGTGGACACCGTTGGCACGGCAGCAGCACTCTTTCTGCCTGGCATTGTCCCCAAAGCTATTGGACTTGGCGCCTCCTTTCTATCAAAGTGGTTCAGATGATCCAACTGTTCGCAGCTTTAAATTGTGAGGAACGTCATTACATTTTTTTCCCCAAGTGTACATCAGCAGTAGCATACAATAAAGGTAACACTGAACTATACCAATGCTAATACTGAGCGACACTCTTAAAATATAAAGGTGCCTAAAGGTTTTTTAGGGTGCTTCGCACCTACCTTACACTCTTTGGATACAGTCCAAAGAACTGATCCAGCAGTTCACTAGTGGTGGGAATTTTCATGATGGTGTGCACCAAACGAGGAAATTCAGCATGCTCTGTTATTCTTCTAGCAGTACATCAGTGCTGTACTGGCCACATTACCTGTCTGTTTTGCCGTCTGATTTGATTGTGACAGAGATAGACATTAAATAGTCTCTGGTTTCTATTTCTCTACTTTTATGGTGGCAAATGTGAGAGTAACAGAGCACTTGTATCCATGCAAAACTTCTGACCAATAAACAAACACCCACCTTTGTCATTTTTTTTAATTCAGTGCACTTTAACAGTTGCCATCAAAGTTGCATTCGAACCAAATAAAAAAGATACAGTGTCTCAAAACCCAAACTCTGGTGTGGACTTTAGCAAGCAAACTAGGTATGAAAACAGCTGTAAATTAGATGTGTAAGAGTTTAAAAATGCTTCTTTATAGTCTTTTGTCTCATGTACAAAATGTTGGAAGGATCCGTTTATTGAAAGGGGAGAAAGGCATTGCTTCAAAGAACGCTTTTGATATCTTTGCTTTTAAGAGTGTACTAGGAAGTATAAAATGACACAAATATCACAAGCTTAGTAATAGTCCATTACAGCATACGACTGCATACCTATATGAGATGTTCATACCTCTATGCCAATTCTTTCTTCAACCTTTCTCTGGTTAGGAACTATAGGTGAAAATATTCCATGCAAAATGAATGGTGCCATTCTAGCTAACTCTGACATGTTCAGCATTATTGTTACATAAAACTGATAAAACGTACTTTTCTAAATGTGCTTCAGAACTGTTACTAGAACTGACATGCAAACTGAGAAAGATACAGCCTTGAAGATAAGGCTGCAGAAGTTTTCGCTAATGTAAAGCAGACAGTGGACAATTGTATCTTATACAACCCCTAGTGTCCCTGTAATTTTTTTTTTAATGTTATCAAGCAACATTTAATTAAAATGTATTTTCTTTTTTAAAGCATAAATATTTGCTTGACAAAGGCTATAAAAGATCCTAAAAATTGTTAGTAATAACAGTCTGTAATGTGTACTCCAACTGTGTGGTGATAATAATGCTTTATGTTTGCAAATTCTTTCACACAAATCTCAGAGGATTCATCTTACATTTTGTGTTTTTACAGCAATGGCTTCTATAATGAACTAACAGTTTCATAGTTATGGTATTTGCCCTCTGTTGTTCTTTACTATTAGCAGTGCTTTGTTAAATGTTTACTGGCTTTGTTTTCACAACTGAAATGTATTAGTATATAAATACATATATCTATATGAATAAAGTGCATTATTTGACATCAATCGACCTTACCTATAACGTCACTGAAACTTTCTGTCAGTCTTTCAGAGTTTAGTTGTTTCTTAATGTAATTGTGCAGCTGAAAACCATGTTACACAACTATGAAACAAGGTGTAATTGTACAAACTCAATTCCAAAAAAGTTGGGACAGTACATAAAACAAATAAAAACAGAAAACGATGATCTGTAAATCCACTTTCACCTGTGTTGTGGTGCATTATGAAGTGCAACATATGACAACTAAGAGCCCCATATGGTTGCCCCGCTGAAGACTTTTACTGAAAAATGGCAAAAAATGTAGTCCCCAAACATTAAGTGCTGTTAAAAGGAAAGATGATGTAGCATAGTCCTAAGCTCTTATGTCAACATTTTTGGAACTTTTTTAGCAGGCATCATATTGAGAATGTGCATATATTTACACAAAAACAATAAAGTTCAAAAGGCATAGCATTGAACATTGTGTCTTTGCCCTGTTTTCAATTTAATATGGGTGCTTCTAGTTTTTTTGTAGCATTTCATGAACTGTCCCAAATTGTGGAATTGAGTTTATACTTAAAAGCACCTATATAGTCTACAGTTAACTCCACTGGACTGGTTTACTGAAGAAAGTGTTCAACAGTATTTAACCACTAGCCAGGTTAGGAAATTCAAGTATCTGCACAACACCACATGTTTTTGTAAGAGGACTCAGACTTTATAGAGTATATGGGTAAATCGCAAACATAAAATACCCTTAATTTTCCATTCTCATGTAAGGTTTTTGAACAAAATTTACACAGATTATTCACTAAACATCTGTCTCTCTATATATTTATCAGGACTGAGTTAATGTGGCCATTTTTACCAGCAGTTAAATGCCTCGGCGCCCTTGTCACTAAAAATGGTTTAAGAGAAAGATTAAATATGCATAACAATTTAGAAAATTGCAGAAGTAAATTAGGATGTGATTACAAAGAGATATTACCATTATAACAAGAATGTACTGTACTTCACTATGATAGTTTAGCAGGATGATATCAAACAGCCCAAATAAATAGAACAAGGGTATTGCAGTAAAGGGTTTGAATGGTTTTCAAATTGGCCTACCTGTCCTAAATGAGGCCATTTGTAAAATCATCACTATGTGCCCATGACATACCCACAAATTTTTGTCTCTCTGTTAAAAAGTAAGATCAGTCCTACTACATACTGCTTAACCCTCTCCATCCAACATGATTGGATTAGCCAGCCTTTAATTAATTTTAATGTGAAATCTATTCGTCTGTGAGAAACATCAGCCTCCCATAGTTTAAACTGGACGCTCCAGAAACAATAGTTAATTTAATAAACAAAGATCATGTAGTACTCATGTTCTTATAAATCCAACATCTCCAACGTAAGCAGCACTTCTAATGTCTATGCAAATAAAACGGACTTGACATATTAAAAATGATCTAGTCAAGAAAACACCCCCTTAATTAAAAAAAAAAAACATTTTAAAACGTCTATTTCATCATCCTTAATAATACTTTTATTCAGTTAAATTGAGAATAACAACAACATATCACAAATTTCCCTTCAATTTACTGCCCTTATACTGAACACGTCACACTTCCTTTGCCTCACATGGAATCATGGAAAAACTATTTTTAAAAAAATCCTCAATCATGCCTTTTCCCATCATATTTTAGTAGAAAGATTTGCCTTTTTAGTTATAACTGTAGAAATATACGTATTTTTTAAACATTATTTATTTTTGCACTGGTAATTTTTATTCATAAGTAGACGAACTCTAAAATAACAGACTCGACAATAAACATTTTTCCTCTCATACAATAAAGTGGCGTATCTTTCAGGACTGTTTTTTTATATTTGGTCACCCTCATTGCTTTTTTCCTTCGTTTGAATTAACACGCGATTTTGCACTTTTATCTTACTTTAAACCGACCGCTGATCTTCAAGCGATTTCCAACGGCAGTTGAGTTCATGTGTCTTTTTTAAGGAATGACACTTCCGGTACATACATAAGCGGTCGTCTCTTAAAGATCAGCGGTCGGTTGTAGGAAAGCAGCGGCGGTCTTCAGCGCTGCATTGCATTCTGGTTATTGTAGTGTATAAAAGCACCCCGTTCAATGAGTACACAATGCTTTGTCGCTATATCTAAATCATTATTAGCAAAACGAAGTACGAAATAATAGTAATAGTTGTGCATATATTTGTATGTTAAACGGGTACATATTTTGTTGCTGGGGACTTCATTCAACTTCACTGCAAACTACAATTTCCGGCTTCCTAAGTTCTTTGCGAAGGGTATGTCCTAAAACAGACAGTGGGGTCTCGGTGGAAAAAATAACCGCTTCCGTGTTGTTCTCTACGGATAAATAACAACTGAGGATTGAACAAACTGCAGAGTAATACTATAATGGTTTTATAAACTGCTACGACACTGAAGAATCACCGGTCAAAATGTCGTCAGCGCAAGGCACAAAGAAAAGGGACAAGCGAATTTTATCAGGTATCTGCCCAGATTCCAAATGCCAGGCGAAGCTATTCTTCCCTGCTTATGGCTCAATTAGCATCGAATGCACTGAATGTGGCCAGCGTCACGAGCAGAAGAATCTTTTGAATGTGGAAGAAGTAACCGACCCAGATGTTGTGCTTCATAATTTACTGAGAAATGCCTTACTCGGTGTTACGGGAGCTCCGAAGAAGGGCACGGAGCTGGTCAAAGTGATGGGTCTCTCCAACTACCACTGCAAGCTGCTGTCACCGATTCTCACCCGTTACGGGATGGACAAACAAACGGGGAAAGCGAAACTGCTACGGGAGATGAATCAGGGCGAGATCTTTGACTGTTCTTTGCTGGGCGGTAGGGCCTTTCTTATCGAACAGGAGCACGTATCGACAGTTGGTTATGGTAAGGACAGATCCGGTAGCCTTATATATCTCCATGACACTTTGGAGGAGATTAAGAAAGCCAACAACAACAAAGAATGTCTCATTCCTGTTCATGTGGACGGAGATGGCCACTGCCTAGTCCATGCTGTGTCCAGGGCGTTAGTGGGTCGCGAACTGTTCTGGCATGCATTAAGAGAAAACCTCAAACTTAATTTCAAACAGAATCTAGACCGCTACAAGGCTCTCTTCCAAGACTTCATTGACACAGCAGAATGGGAGGACATAATCAATGAGTGTGACCCTTTATTCGTCCCCCCAGAGGGAGTCCCACTCGGATTGAGAAACATACACATATTTGGGTTGGCAAACGTGCTGCACCGTCCCATAATCCTCCTGGACTCTCTCAGTGGTATGCGAAGCTCAGGTGACTACTCGGCCACGTTCCTTCCAGGCCTGGTGCCTGAGGAGCAGTGCCGGGGAAAGGATGGCGCCCTCAACAAGCCCATTTGCATTGCCTGGAGTAGCTCAGGCAGGAACCACTACGTCCCTCTGGTGGGCGTTAAGGGTATGCCACTGCCCCAGCTGCCTACAGAGCTGTTGCCCAAAGCTTGGGGTGTTCCGCAGGAGCTTATCTGCACATACGTGAGTCTGGAACCCTGTGGAGGATGCATGATTGGGGGTGACCGAAGCTTGCAGGAGAAATATCTGCTCCGTTTAGTTAGTGCCATGGAGAATGTCTTCATGGAGAAGCATGGCATCCACCCTGCGCTCGTGGCTGATGTTCATCAGTACGTTTACCGCCGTACAGGAGTGATCGGCATCCAGCCTGAAGAGGTGACTGAGGCGGCAAAGAAGTCAGTGCAAGAGAATCGTCTGCACCGCTGTCTTATTTGCGGTGCGCTGTCTGAGCACCATGTTCCTCCTGAGTGGCTGGTGCCTGGTGGGAAACTCTACAACCTGGCCAAATCCACTCATGGCACTCTCCGGGGGGACAAGAACTACAGCTTCCCCCTGAACAACTTGGTATGTTCCTACTGCCCTGAGAGGGACACGCTGCTGCCTGACTACAAACTCAGCTCGCTTTCCACCTGCTCCTGGTGCCATGGAACCTCTATGCGGCACGTCCATGGTGACGGATCAGTGGTGTACCTGGATGGGGACCGCACCACTACACGCTCGCAGGGAGGGAAGTGCGGCTGTGGCTTTAAACATTACTGGGAGGGAAAGGAGTATGATAACCTGCCAGAGGCGTTTCCTATCACGCTGGAGTGGGGGGGCCGTGTAGTCCGAGAGACTGTTTACTGGTTCCAGTATGAGCCAGACCCAGCACTGAACAGCAATGTATATGAGGTGGCAATGCGCCTTGTCACCAAGCACTTCCCTGGAGAGTTTGGCAGTGAGATTCTGGTACAGAAGGTGGTGAACACCATCCTGCACCACACAGCCAAGAAGAACCCTGATGAATACCACCCTGTGGCCATAGAGGCTGCTCACATGCAGGGCCAAGGACAGGGTGGAGGAGAGGTGGTGGAGTCAGATGCGAACCCCCCCACAAAGATCATCCTAACGGGTCAGAAGGGCCGCACGCTACATAAGGAGGAGTTGGTGATGAGCCGAGCTGAGAGAAGTCTGCAGCACAGCATCAGCGAGCAGGCAGCTCTGTCCCAACGCAGACGCACACAACGCCAGCGTATGCAGGACCAGAGTGCAGAGCCACGCCCTGTCTCCCCTGCCTCGTCCTCTTCTTCCTCAGCTCCACCAACACCTACAAAAGCCCCACCCCCCAGCGGCGAGAAGAAAATCCGTGTGACAACGAGTGATGGGCGGCAAGCAATGCTACAGCTGCAGGCCCACACCACCTATGCAGAGCTACAAGCAGCTATCGCCCAGGCCCTCAACCTGCAGCCCCATCAGCAGTGCATCCGGCATGGCTTCCCCCCTAGGGAGCTACTGCCCCCACCGCCTGAGCAGCAGGACCTGCCTGTGGCCCTGCAGCATGGAGACCGCATCACTGTGGAGGTACTGAAAGAGAAAGTCTTGGACACACAAACACATACTGGGTCTGAGACGCACACATCAGATGCTCATACCCTAACAGAGCCCCGGCTCAGAAGGACCAGCAGCCGAGAGATGCAGGACAACATTGACCTGGAGATGTCATCACTCTGTCTCCTAGCAACGCTAATGGGTGGGTCCACTTCCAGGCATAGAAAACAGTACTTGTTCATAAGCACCTGTTTATATAACAGTTTTGGAAAAAGAAGAGTAATACCGTACACATACCGTGTACTTAAAACTGTTTAAAGTGTACAGGTCATGTACTATTTGATCTGTTACTGTAAAACATTGATACTAAACCTGCACCCCTGGGTTACAGTGTTCATTCACACTGACTTCAAAATGAGGCTTTGATGTGTAATTATTAACATAGGTGCCAACAAATATATAACCTAAAAATGACTATTGCATTGGCTTGCTGGTAACCACTGGAGTGAACCTCATAACTGTAGCATGAGATAATACAGTATTATTAGGTTTGAAAGACTTGTAAAATGTGAGAAACTGTGAAATCAGTGATGCACAAATGAGAACATTCTAGTATAATATTTAATCTGAATTATAAGCTCATTCCATCAGCCTCTTATTGCTCTGCTCTTTTTCAGTGTGGTGACTATTATTATGTCCATATGTCCTGTTCTCTTTCAGGTGAAGATGTGTGGTCATATGCTAAGAAGTTGCCTCATTTGTTTCAGCAAGGAGGAGTCTTCTACAACATTGTCAAGAAAGACATGGGTATATCTCTCTTTGTTTTTTTTTTTTGTTTTTTTTTGGGGATATATATATATATATATATATATATATAGAATTTTTATATATATATATATATATATATATATATATATATAAAAATATAAAAATATAAATATATTCAGTCATTCTGAATTCAGCTATGTCTCTGTAAGTTTAAAACAATGTACAGTCATTCAGTGAAGTCATGTGAATTTTTAAACAGTGCCATTAGGGAAAACACAAAAAGCAGAATTAACATTTCTTTGATTTACCTCACCCCTGCCCCAATCATAAGTCAGAAACTTTCCTAACCCTCCCACCATTGTGACTTACACCCCTTTTTCAATCCTCAAAACGCCTTGTCATAATTCATCCAAATAATAATAATTTAGAAGAAGAAAAAATTCCAAAACAATAATAATAATACAAAAAAAATCCTCAATCAACACTTCAGTCAAATCCATCAGATGTTTAAAATGGTTAAAAGGTTGCCAGCACTGCCCAAAACCGTCTGCCATCCCTCTCAGATCGAGTTTATTTTTTTCCAGATTTGAGCCATATAGGAAGCAAAGGGGATGTGGACTTCCATTCAGTTAGAATCCTTCTCTAAGCTAAAAGAAAAGTAAAAACCATTGCATCGATCACACGTAAATTACCAGAGAGGGTGCTGGCTGAATTTAAGTTACGCTAAAAAAAAATAAGATGGAAAAAACTCCTGACCAGACCTTTTCTAACATTGTTTAGGCCCAAAGAATATGAAAAAGGTCAGCCAGTTCACCATTACACTGAGGACAGGTTGGGTTAACATTTGAGTAAATGCTTGCTAATCTAGCTTTGCACATGTATGCTTTATGAACCAGTTTAAACTGAATTAGATTCAGTCGAACACAGGAGGAAGAGGAGTGGCTCTTGTGTTCTATAGCAAAGAAGCACAGGAACCCTTCATTCCAGTGACAGTGCAGATAACTGCGTCCCCCAGGTGCAGAACATAATCAGCGCTAAGCAGCACTTTTTTGTATGTTAATGTCCAGACTTTGAAAATGTGATTGGTGAGAGTTGAGGGTCTCACACAGTCATGTTTCTGGCTAGGACATAGAGCTTGTAACAGTTTATATTTGATTTAATTCCAGAGTATCATATGCAGGGTAGAATTTTGCATGTGTTTTTCATTGTTTTTGTATGTGTTTGTTGTTCTGAATTCAGGTCTGATGGATGGGAAGCACTGCACTCTGCCACACCTAACCGGCAAGACGTTTGTGTTCAACGCAGCAGAGGAGCGTTTGGAGCTGTGCGTGGATGCAGCAGGCCACTTCCCTGTGGGCCCTGATGTGGAGGACCTTATCCAGGAGGCCCTTTCCCAGCTTTGCTCTGAGACCTCCTCTCGCAGCCGTGAGGGAAGTCCCGCCCACAGCCTTAAGCTAGGCAGCGGTGGGGTAGTGCGCAAGAAGGAGCAGACCGTCACGGCTTTCCAGGGCAAAGGTCACTCACTGGGGTCTACTCTTGAGCACCGGCCAATCAGGCGGCAGCACAGCAGTGGCGTGGACCTGAGTGGCAGCGCTCGTGGAGAAGGGCTGACGTTGTCAGGGGAAGAGCTTGTGCGTGTGGCTCCAGGCATGCTCACCCTGCGTGAGGGGCGTGGCGGGGTGGAGCTAGAGCCAGCAGCAATCGAAGCTCAGAGGCGTCGTCTGCAGGAGATGGTGTCAAACATACAGGCCTCTATGGACAAACACCTACGGCAGCAGACGACAGCTGCTGCCACTAGCGCTGCAACCACTAAGCAAGATGGGAAGGAGGTGGAGCCGGATGAGCAGGAAGAGATGGAGAGCCAGGGGGCGGAGCCTCCAAGCACCTCTGAGCCCATGGACCAGTCCTGATGAAGTGTGATCTGTTTCCCCACACACATGGCTTTCTGATTTATGTAACGCACACATACATAGAAATGTTGTTCACGCACACTTATACACACATCCTACTAACCGAAAAACAGTGCAGTCTGTTTACTGCTTTGTGTGTGTGTGTGTGTGTTTGTTGAATGCATTCCTGAATAACTGTTGAGTCTTAAAAGGCTTTGGAGATGAGCAAAAGAGCTGGTTAAAAAAATGTTCAATTCTATTCATACATGCTTCACATACATGCTTTACACATGCTTCAGTGCAGAACACACTAACCAGGCTTACAGAGTGTGTGTGTAGATGAATGTGTATTAACTGAACCAATCTAAGTGCATCTGAAGCGTCCTGTAGCAATTTCTATGTACTTCTAAAGGAAACACACAAACATGCCTCCACCTTCCTTAGCTGGTGTCAGAGTAGTATTTGTGTTAGCATGGTGAGGCTGAAAGGAGTAATAACTGTCTTAATCTGGTACAGAGGCATCATTCAGAAGGCACTCGGAATAGTACTGATTATTAAGAGGTGTGTGTTTTGCCCAGTGATATTAAGTATTCTTAAAAGTAGGATTTGGTGTATGTTCCTGTGGACTGGTTTTGGATTAAAATTAGCACAGTCAGTGGGAACTTTGTACTGGAGATTCCTACTTCTCTCGTTTTACTCTGTGACAAGACTGGATTTGTGTGTATGGTTAAAAAAAAGGAAAAATGATAGAAAATATTGCAAAGATATAAATGGGACAAATCACATACATAAGGAATTCATATTTAATTTTATTCACAATGCCATTTTTCAAAATGTTTCTTTCAATGTTGATTTTTACTTTAAAATGCTTATGCAGCCCAGAGAAGCTAATACTATGGAGAAGGTCTAGTAATTTTGAAGATGAAGATGAAGGACATTAGTTGCTTTAGGTTTGACTGAATGGTTAAGACTGGTAATGCTTGTGCAATAAAATACAGCTTTATTAAAGCTTTTAATTTTGCGTTAAATGTGTAAAGGTGCAGCTGCAAAGATTTGCTAATAGGCAGGTGTTTTGCCATGGCTAGATTCCTGATCTTCTGGTGTTCCTACTCCCCACATAGGGGTTGAGCTGCCTTCTATCCTGATCAGTTAAACCTTAAAGGATGCGACTAGAGTTAAGGAGGGTTTTGTTTACATTTGACAATGGCATGGTGGTCCTGTACACATGTTGCCATTGCTCATACACATACACACCCACACAGCCTTAACAATCAATGAGGTTTACCTACAACCCACACTACACACTGTTAAATGCACCCCCTTTCCCTGCCCCATTTTTTTTTTAGAGTTTGTTATTTAAGTTCCCATTAACATGCTGTGTACTTCAATGCCTCCAGTGGAGTTTCCTTTTTTTTAGCATTTGAAGCTGAAAGGGTGTTCCATTGCTTTTTAACCCTTTTTCCACTCATGCCTCTCAGTGCAAAAGAGGATTGGGGTAACTGCAGAATAGAAGTGGCCTAGGAACCAGACCCAGATTTAAGTATTAGATATGGCTAGCTTGGTAGCAAAAGTAAAAAAAAAAAAGACTTTTCATGCTTGATGGCTTTCCACTGTAAGCAGACTAGCTCTCAGAACAAATAACAATAATAATCATCCCTATCGGACTGGGAAGGATAGTTAGAATGTTTACTAGCACTGCTCTTGAATATTGGTAATGATTTGATCAGCATTAAGAATGATTCAAAAGAAATTATTTATTTCAAGTGGATACAAACAGTTTGTTTCTCTCTGACTGTTGGCATGGTGGCCTGTAAGTTGTGTATTATAATAGTATATATTGTACTATACTTTATCCTGTACATATATTCTGGTTGTTTTTTTGGTTTGTTCCTCCTCTGTTTGCCAATAAAGTGGTTTAAAGAGCCCACACAGCTGAAGTGTTTGCAGTTTGCATGTGCAATGAATTTTCAGCCTAATAACAAATAAAGTTAATGCCTCTCTGCAAAATGCTGTGGTTACTGGCCTCTGACAGTTAACATAACCTCAATCTTGAAATTGAACTCTAATCCTGCTTCTAGCCCTATTCTGTCACAGCTTTAAGCAATTTAAACAACTACTTGTACTGCACAGTGTTTAAATGCCTCTCTTTAGAATGTCCATGAAAATAACTGACAAACACAGGTATGGCACACCAACCAGAAGTTTCTGTTTGTGTTTGTATGGTCGATGTGCTCTGGCCTTTACAGCAGATGATATATGTTCTAATAAGATGTTCAGATGACTAGTGAGTTATAGTCAGCTTCAAATTTAAGCCATCACTTTCTGTCCCAGAGTACAACAGCCATTCATAGGACACACCTCAGATTATATCAACAGATTTAATAGGCAGCAACAATACTTCCACTTAATACATTACTAAGAGTACTACTGCAGCATGTCCAACACTAGCAACGTGTCACCTTTTTTCAATTTGAACTTAGCCAAATCAGTTAAAAGCTATAGAGGAATCAATGTTACATGAACAACACAACACTTCTGTGTGGTAGATTCTGAAGGCTAAAACAATTCACCAATTACATGATATGAAAAGCTTAAAGAAGGTACATCTATCAGTTATCCTAGTCACACAAATATTATTTATTTCATCATACTCATGATTTCTCGATAGCAGATCTGAGACAAAAGTGGCAATTGGGATAGCAATTCATTTACAACTTGTGAAGTATGTAGTAGATGTCTGAATACCAGTATGGTTTGTTCAGTACAGTTTCATGGATGCAGCAAACAGATCAGTAAGATCTTCTTCAGTGTGAGATCTGGGGGCCAGTTTTGTCACCCGCTCCTGCAAAATACACACACAAATATTACCTGGACACTCAATACAGTAGAAAGCAGTACCCATCTTTTTCAAAAGAGCAATTTGGCACATACAATGCTAGACAACACTGAGTTGCCAGTTTAATAAGTAAACCTACCTTGTACCCACACTTTAAAGGCCAGTTTGTCAGTACACCTACCATTTCCAATATTTTGCAACACACACCCAGCACCTATTTGACTTTCCCTTTCCTTATGCCACATCCATGTTTATATTACTGCTGTGCTGAGAACAGCCAACACCTACCATCAATATTCTAGTCAGCAGTAGTCCTATGTCCTATGGCTGCCACTGAGGCTGGCTTACAAACTGTGCAGCAATAGATGTGCTATACCTATATGTACCTAATAAAATGACCAGTAAGTGGAATAAATAAACCAGTTTCTCAGTGTATGGTCACTGTGTTTTCAGATCTTAAATTTTACAACACAGGCCTGGGAATTTGCCAGAGGGGGCAAACCTGAGGGATGGTTCCTTTCACCAGGGCAGGAATGTCCTCTTTAACATAGCCAATTGCAGACAAGCCATCTTCCACTTCCAGGTCATACAAGAAGTTTCTCAGTGTGTCTGCCAACACACACCCAGCATCTTTTCTCTTCACTTTCCTAACATCAGCACCTGGCCATCACACACACACACACACACACACACACACACACACAATCATATATACATGCACACAGGCACATACACTTATATCTACATCGGTAAAGGCTATATGATTCATTCCACCAAATTAGTTGAAATTCAGTTCACCATCAATACAACAAAAACACCTCCAAAACCATTTACCAAATGTTTTGATAGTGTCAATAATAGGGAAAGCATTTTTTTTTTCATTTCTAAATTAAACTCATGAAAAATCGACATCTTTCAACTTCACTTTAAAGAACTTCACAAGTTAAAATTTAGGGGTTAGGGTCTGGGACAGCCACCTTCCAAAAGAAAGTACCCTACAAATGATGATTTTGTATATATTTAATTTATTACTATCTCTATGCCTTGCTTTTAAATAGATCATTATATTATTTTGTAAATATCTAAGCTCATTTGTTGTTTTAAATAGTTTTACTGTGGGACCACAGTTTGAACTAATTTACAAGAAACCTGCTTTATGCCATCACCTTAAATTTTGATATACAATTGTTAATGATCAACCACATTCACACCTTTATCAAACTTTTTTCCCACCAGCTTAAAATGAATACTTATCTTTTATATGTTGCTACTAAAAGAAGGCTAAGCACTGAACCACGGCTGAAGCCCCTCACCCTTCCTATCAAACTTTCTAAAAATCTCCTTCTCTAACTTCTGTTTTTGCACTCCACCACCTCCCCATATACTCCCTGTATTTCTATCATTTCTCTCAGTCCTATCTCTGTTCAACAAGGATGGGTCTAGCCATCTAGCTTAAAGCAGAAGTCACGCAGAACTTAAGCCCAAGTTCTCAGAGCTCCCTCCCCTCAGACATTCAAACAAAGTCTTCTCATACTACACCCACATGTTGACGTTAAGGTTTTTGATAACTACACACTGTTCTGTGTGTCTGTGTGTGCGCGTGTGTGCACATGCATTACCAAGTATCTCTGCTGCCTCTAGGTGGCGCTCTGGACACATGCTGGCAGTGAAGGCAAAGACAGCAGGAGAGGTGAGAACCACAGAGAGACCATGTGGCTTAAAGAATCACACACAAACACACAAACACGCACAGACACAAATCAGAAAATATGGGGAAACATCACAAACATATGGTAGGTTATATATGTAACTTAAAAGCGGTACTGCTTTCAGTGTAAGCACTTTAATATTTTAAAATCATACTGAATTATGGAATACTAGTTTTAATAAAAAAATATTACTTCAAATCGTTTCTGCTTTTACTCAAGTGAAAGATTTGTATAGTTCTTCCACCACTGGTAGTTTGTTTGTTGTTCACTGCTCAGGACTGTTCTTACCACCAAGGGATGGTCCACACTGTAGCCTTTAGCTTTATGATTCTTGACATTACCAGCAATAGGGTACGACATTCCATGACTGAAACAAAGAAACAGAAGAAGTGTACTTTATTGAACAGAGTTTAATCAAGCAATGTTTCTGATTTTTAGAATCTGTATCTCACTTTTTCGAAACAAAAGTAAAAAAAAAAGCAAACAAAATCATTATTAACTGAGTTTATCCACTTCTAACACCATTCAGGCAGAACTAAAACTTTTTTCTTACAGAGTAAAAGTATTGCAAATCTTCAACAAAAATGACAGATAGCTTTTCTGATAATGCCTACATATCACCCGAGATGAGCTTCTTCTCTGACATAATAAAGGGTTAAATGATATTTGCAGCTCTAAATTAGGTATGTAAGTGAGGGAAATTACCATAAATGAACTCCTGCATTGCCAAAACCAATTCCAGCAAAAACACTTGCCAGGTGCATGTTGGAGCGTGCCTCCACATCACTGGGGTCCCTCACCGCTCTGACACATGCCCACAAACACAAACACATATTATGAGCACACTAACACGGACACAAATGTACCGTTTTATAGGTATGCTTATTTACTGCATGTTACCAAAATTAAAATTTGAAACAATTTTTTGTTACTTTTTGTTGGCAGATTTCACCATTTGAAAAAACTGAAATGTTGACTGATGTAAAACTGACTGCACTGCTCACAGTTGGAGTGATGGACATTTCCATCAGAATGGTGCAGTGAAAAAGTCATCCAATTGAGTGTTAATAATTTTGTCTGGGTTATCTTTCTGTTTGCTTTAATGGAAGTTATACATTTACTTCTTGGGAGGGGATACACTATATGTTCAAAAGCATCCAGACACCTATTTTAATTAGTGAAGTCAGCTACTATAATGTGCACCAATTAATGACACAGGTACCCAGCTGTACACATAGCTTGTATAATCTTCAATCAAATGGGACACTCTGGACAGCTGCACATGAGGCTTAGGTCACCTAGTCCAATGTTAAGGACTGGCTAGAGGGGTATAAAGCCCTTAGCATTGAGCTGCAGAGCAGTGGAACTGTGTTCTCTTGTTTTCATGGAGCCACTTGTGATCCAGAATTAACCTGACCTGATGTCACTAATGCTCTTGTAGCTGAATGCAATCAAATCCTCATAGCAATGATCCAACATCTAGTGCAATGCCTTCCCAGAAGAGAAGAGTCTGTTACTGCAGCACAGGGGGGACAAACTCTCTATTAATACCCTTGATTTTAGAAGAAACACTGAATGAGCAGGTACCTATAAACTTCTGGACATATAGTGTATGACCCATAAAACTGGGTAATAAATAAATAAATATATAAAAAATAAATATAGAATAAACTTGGTTAGGACTGTAACTTTCTCTCACGCTCAGGTATACCGTTTTAGGTACTTGGCAACCATGTGGAGGGCATGTCTTGCCCAGACATCGCTGACTGGGTTGCTGCCCTGGTAGGCAGGGCGGCTGATAGGATTGTCAGGGCATGGACTTCTCATGTTATATGGCAGTGCAGTGTAGGATTCCAATGCATGGCTTTGGTGGGAGAGGAGAAAGAAAGCAAGGTGCGGGGCGTAATTTTGCATGTTAAATTTTGTGATACAACATATAATGTATTTTTTGCCCAATACAATAATTTTTTGATACAGAAGTAAAAAAAAGAAATACGAACATCAATTTTGTTTTTATTTACAATTACCAAAAGAGGACCATAGTGTCATCAGCCAATCTGGCAACTCTAGGCTTATACTTTTAGAGAATGTAATTTTCTTTCAGACGTGTTAAAAATTATTTTCAAAAGAGAGTGAATTTTTAGAGAGTGAATATAAATATGCATACTTTGACACACACTCTAAAAATAAGCACTCCTAGTACCTCACAGACCCACACACACTGTGGAATGAGTATTACCAGAGCACATCGAAGCCGCTGTTGGCAGCCACTCGGGCTGGCATGTGCAGTGTGTGAAGTGGATCTACCATACCCAGAGTAGGTCGTAGTGACCGATTCGCTATGCCTGAAAAGAAAATGCATGGAAACACATACACACCCACACCATCCTGGCTTGACATCACTCATCAGAGACTCAAAAAACTACTAAGTGACATCCACCTACTGTTGGAGTACTTCTGTAAAAGGATGGATAGTAAACAAAATCATTTTGTGTTTAGAAGAAGTTTCTTCTAGATTTGGATCAAACTTAATTCTTAATGTGGTATGTTTTGAAGAATGTTTTTGTGTTTTAATTTTCACACACCTGTTTTAGCCTTCAAGTCTTCAAAGTCAAAGATGGCCACACCTGTAGTCTCACTTCCTGTGCCTGCCGTAGTGGGAACTGCAAGTCACACACACACACACACACAGACATGTACATATATACACAAACAGCAGAAAAGTTCTCTCCAGTATCTCTGAAAGTGAGTGTGTGTCCATTTGTTTGTGTTGTGATGGCTCTCAAATCAGATGGACTATTCTACCAAATTAGTTCAAACTGTGGTCACTCAGTAGAATTATGTATTCAGAGCTTAGATATTTACAAGGATTATGTTATGATCTATATAAACCCAAGGCATAATGAAATAGTAATAAGCTAAAAATATACAAAATCATCAAATACTTTCTATTAGGTACTTTCTATTAGGAGGTGGCTGCAGTTTTTTCAATGTTTTTTAAAAGACACCCCACACCCCTGCATTGAGTTATGCTCAAAATTTGCTAAAATTGTAAAAACTGAAACAGTCACTACATAAACATTTGGTAAAGTCTCAAAAGTGTTATGGCTGTTTTGGTAGTTACAAAAATGAATGTTTCATCGTTGTTTTGATAAAATAAACATAATTAAGGTACAGGGTCATTCGAGGTAAAAGGATTTTAGGCTAATGTCCAATTCAGCTAAAGCCTGTGTTTTGAACTCTAAAATGAACCAATTCAGTAGAATTATTCATATATGAGTGTGTATGAGAACTTTGATGGTCCTGTAACTGTGAGACAGTCTTTTTGTGTTTGTAAATGTGTCAGTGTATGTGAATACCAGCAATTAGAGGCTTCAATGATCCTGTAACTGGCTTTCCTTTCCCAATTGGTGCATTGACAAAATCCAGAAACTCAGCCTCCGGGTGACATGCATAGAGATTTGCTGCTTTACAGGTGTCAATCACAGAGCCACCGCCCACAGCTACATAGGCATCAAAATCTCTTTTCTTCGCAAAATCAATAGCTGCCTTGAAACTAAAAATAGAAAGGAATTTTAGAATCTGTTTGAACCACTAGAAAATGGATCTTCTAAAAAACTTCACCCTGTCACAAATAATTAAATAAATACTGCATCTTTAAGTACCCAACACTGTCTGTGTTTGTTACACTGTGTGTTATATCCCAATATTATAATTTAAGAAGTTAAAAAAAGATAAACAAATAAAGTATGGGTCTTTTGTAACTAATGTGCATTAAATCAGAAAATCAGAAAATACATATTATTAATTGAAAACATCTATAATTCACTGTTCTTTGCTATTGGCCTTTTCATACCTTTTTTATTTACAAACAAGAACAGCAGACAGACACACAAACACACATCACCTGCTGTCTGTAGGTTCCACCCTCACACTGTTGTAGCATTCATACTTCACTCCATGTTTGGCCAGTGAGTCTAGCACTGCTGTTACTGGTGGCAACCTGGACAAGTTCCTGTCAGTCATCAGACACACATTCCGTGCACCCAAATTCTGCAGGTCCTGGACAAACAATTGAGAACATTACTTGTTACCAACTTCATATCTTCATATTCAGTCAATAACGATCTTCCTTATTACCCTATTAATGATACATATCTACAACAAATGTGATTAATTTTTTGTTGTAGGTGAATGTATAAAATCCAGCCAAGTAGACCTCTTTATAAGCATTTAGAAAAATGTTGTGAGAGAAGTGCATGTGCGGCAATACAGGCGTTCAAAAACGGACTAGACAGGCAGAAGGCTATCATAATGTTTATTCTAGGGGTAATGATTACATGTCCAAGGCTGATCAGTTGTGGTTCCATCAGTTCCACTTGCATATTATGGAACTAACTGTACTGACAGAGATGTTTAGGGTTATGGCTCTGTAGCATTTTCCATTTCAGTGATGTTTAACAATGCTGTCCCTAAGAACTTTAGAAAGCCACTTCACCTTACCCTGTGATTGCTACTTGTTGCGTGGCAACATCGTTTACAACACCAGGTGCAAAATATAATGCAAAAAAGTTCTAATATTTACAACATGATTTAGTTTAATATAGCATTGATATATATAATATATAATTTTAATATGACCTGAACGAGTGTCTGAATATGTTTTCCTTATTAATTTTGTTTTTCTTTAAACATATATTTGTTTATGCTTATGATTAAATGCATTTTTGTCCAAACACATTTGATGTTAAATACACTGAGTTGAAACAATTATGCAGGCATTTGTTTTCCTTTCCACATATGCAAAGGCCTATGGTTTGGGACCCTCTGCCACAACTCATTTAACTGACACATTCTTAAGCCTAGGGAGTGGCATCATCTTTTGGTACAAATACTACCTTTCAAGAGGACAGAAAAAAAACAAGCAGAAAATTGTTTCTGAATGTCTTGGGTGAAACCTTTTTTGGTTGGGGTTGTGCAGTATGTTGCACTGAAATGTATCTCTGGTAAAACTATTTAAAGAGACAAAAACAGATTCTAATCTGTAATATTGTTAAACTTGTAAAACACATTTTAAATCTGTTTACAGTAACGCAGTAGCAGATAGTACAGCACTGGCATACAGCAATAAAGAAGGCTGAATAGGTTCAAATCAAAACCTGTACTTTTTGTTTTTTGTGGTTGTTTATTTAGTGACTGACTAAAGATATTTATTGACCTGATCGTAAGTTTAGTGTCTGTCAGAAAGTTTGCTTTTGTGGCATTTGTTTACTATTTTGTGGGCGTTTGACCATTTTGCAAAGAAAATGTGTTATTTTGGCTGGCAAGTCTCTGTTTAGTTATCATGTGATAATTCAGGGAACCACAGGGGTGAGTGGGAATTTGACCCACCACTTTTTAAAGTTCTGGGGAGATGACCCACCACTATTTGATCAAGTTAAGGGCATACTTTTCATAATTTCACATAAAGAAATAAGACTTAGTAAACTAGTACATATTTAATTCTTGATATCAGTAATTTTATTTGCACTTGTGAAAATTAAAATTTAAAAAGCAAATATTAAATATTAACTAGTAAAAATTCATTTTTTACTGGTAAGAAATTAATTTTTACTAGTAAATGTCATTTTCACATATGTAAATTCCTTTGTAAAAATTAATTTTAAATCAGAAAATAGGATTCAAAGCGAAAACTGCTTGAAATAAAATCAATTAAAATATATGCTTAGAACCTCAGCATGTCAAACTGCTCTTCACTTCTTTGGATTTCAAGCTAAATCTCCTTTCCATTCACAAGAGAGCTAACATAGAATTTGTAGGAAGGAAGTAGTAGGAAGCAGTAGGAAGAGGCTGTTTTAAATACAGTGCCATTTAAATCTGCCAATACCTGTTAAATCTGAAATCCTGCTCAAGCAAGCTGTTTTCCTCTCTGTACTCCTATAGATGTTTCAATCAAACAGATCCAAACCTGTCTTTCAACCCCTTAAATGGCCAGGGCCCACCGATGGGCCCAAAGTTTTATTACACATAAGATTTATTCTATAATCTAAGAATAGCTCAGCCAGTCCCTGTAGTTACTGAATAATAAGACTTGATGTGTAATGAGCCTGGGATTTTAAGGGGTTAAATATATTGGCTAATCAGCCGAGTGTGTGTATGTGTGTTTTGTTGTATGTGGGACCAAACATGTTTGGAACTATTGTAGAAAATATCACATATATTCCTTATTCATTAATGAGCAAGCGTGTTACCACTACACTATTTGCTCTAAACGTCACTGTAAATCAGGTGGTGCATTTTATGAATCTGGCCCTATGTCTAATAAACTATGTTTCAGGAGTATTCTCTCAATATTATGAAATGAAACTATTACCATGCCAATTTCTCTGGTGACCCCCTCTCCGTATCTGATATTAGAGCAGGCCATCTGAAACAGGGAGACACACATCATCAAATTAAGATTTGTAATCTGAATGTTTTTACAAACAGCCTGTCTGATATTGATATTTAACCGAGTTGCTCTGTGTAAATGAAACTTATTTCAAATTGTGTTATAAAATTGTGTTGCACAGATATAAAGTTATGACTACTGACACTGACCTCAAAGGCATAGTCAGTTTTTCTCCCACAAGCATGGCCAGGACCTGACCACACAAGAAAACAGAGTGATTTAGCACCATGCAGCATGCTACTTTAACTTCATATTTTGAGTTTAGATGACTTAAACAAACTTAAATTGTTGAGATGTTAACAAAGTAATTCGGATGACTTTGGTATGATGTGAACTGGTTAATTATAGAGAAACCTACAGATTAGATACTTAGATTCTTAGATTCATCGCGATGCGGACGTGAACAATTCTGAATCGATTCACAAATGTCAAAAATCGATTTTCTAAATTTAAATTTGTAATGTAACGTTGACGGAACGCAAAAGGCGGAACCTGTAAGTGCGGAAGTGCAGTGCCCGGACAGTCTGTGACGCGCACATAACAAAAACACAACTGGATGAGTGAGAAATCCGACCGGTACCCTCTACATTAAAGCCAGGTTAGATCAGGAGTCACAACCCAAATGATAAGAAGAGACATTTTGTCTTTTCAACAAAAATCAAACCACCTTGGGAGCCACAACATTTTATGACCAGTATGTCTCATTATGTGATAATATTCTAGTATAGGCTAAAAATTATAAACAAAAACGCAGATTTACTTTGCTCTGCTTTAAGCTTTAGCTCAGCTATAGCTGCTTTTCTTCCATCACCGCCAGAAAACTTTTCCTCAAAAGTTTAATAGTTTCTTGTAAAATGTCTCTCAAAGCTCGACTGTTTTATGAGACTGAAGTCGCTTCTTATTCTCCAGCTTCTTGTTCGAATTTTCCCGTTCCAACTTGAATTCTGCCTGAGGACGTAAACGCGGTGCTATTAAAGGTGGAACGGGAAAATTCGAAAGAGAAGTGACTTCAGCTGTGCGACTTTTTAGTGTTTGACAGTTTCTTGTTACAGATTTAACGTACCAGGAAACCAACTGCGCTGCTTATTAATGCAAATAAGTCCATTTGTCTCCAAATGTTCGTCTGTCTTTTCCTTTTTCGTTCGCTACTCACTCAGCGAAACCTCGTTGCTAGATGACCTGCAGTCTGCACGCCAATTCTCAGTCGTTGTGAAACAGGGCTTTTGCTCTATGTTGCACACGTCCCGTCTCGAAGATATTTTACTGAAACAGCAATTCCCCAACTCTCTACAATGAGACCAAAACTGAAGTTATAAAATCACTAAAAACGGTTAGGACGGCTGTAACGTGCTGCATGGACATCCATTACCACTGGATCTTATGTCAACCTAACAGCGCATTTTATCACAGATGAGTGGCAGCAGCGTCTCATGCGCTCCAAACAACAGCAGTGAATGAGTCTTCTAGTTCACTTGCCACATCACTTCCATTTGATTTATTAATAAAAGATATTGGAAGTAAATTCATTATGGATCATCACAAATACTTTGCTTTAAAACTACCAAGTCATCAGACATTAAGAAAACAGAAATCTTGTATAGAAAAAAAGATGCATCGATAATCGTTTTATTATCGCATCGCAGCCCTCTGAACCGTAAAAACATATAATAATAAATAAAAATAAATACATATATATAAATATATACATATATAAATATATATAAACACACACACATTATATATATATATATATATATACACACCATTATCAACATTAAACATATCAAATTTAATGGCTATATTTGCAATGTAGATACTGTGACCCCTGGTTCCTATCACCATCAGCAGAAATTATTGAAAAATTGAAAAATCTCATTAACATTCCCTCAAAGACCTCTGAGAAATAATGCATTTACTAATTTCCATGCACATTTGTGCTAGTTTAAGAGAAACCTTTCAGTTGACATGTACCTTGAAGATAGGTGTGTGCAGAATACATATGTGAGTGAGCTGGGCATCTGCACCTGTTAAAAGTGACACAATGCATTTCAACAAACATAAACCTTTAGCAGTGGAGGCACAGTTAGGTCTGAAACTTGATTCACCAGTTATCCATCTCTGTCAGGCATAAAGACAAAAGCTGACTGTGTGATATGGCGGACGGAGTGTGACAAAATTGGAAATGAATGAATGAATGAATGAATTAATTAATTAATAACAAAAATAGATAAACTTGATTTGAGTAACAGAGAAGTAAATAAATAAATTCAGAACATAAAAATGTAAATAAGTAAACAAAGAAAGAAAGAAAGAAATTAGCCATAAATAAATATGGGTATAATAAAAATGGGTTAGAAATGCATAAATAAATTAATATATTTATACATATGAGCAGAAATACTGAAGTGAATTAATATTTTATTTATTTCTCTATTTATTTATTTCTGTGTTTCTTCCTCCTGTTCATGCGAATAAGGTGGGCAACACTAACGTAATTCCAACAAACTACTAACGTAATTCTAACTAACTAACAAATTCCAATATGGCGAACCGTGAACTTTGTCAGGTTCTATGAGATTTCGCAAACCCACTCAGTCGTTTCTGTTAAATGACAGATCACACAATTACCCAGCAAACACACATCATTGTCACAACGTTGCCTACTTTCTTTGCTACACGTTGCTTCAACGTTGTCGAAAGGTGGTGCTCTTTACACTGCCTGAACAAGGTTGCCACAACCTCATTATTCAGTAATATAGCGAAATTCCATGGAGTTCCATGCACAACATAATGGAACCTTAGAGGATTCCAGGACGTTGCGAGAACTTACTGACATTGCCATGTTTTCACAACTTCCTGAGGAATTACATTTAACAATGTGACAACGTTGTGACCACTAAAACAATAGGTTGTCACATCGTTGTCGCAACGTAACTGTGTTTGCTGGGTAGCTACACCTCGCAGCCCTGTTCTCTGCTGCGTACACGCGCGGAATTCCTGCTGTGGCATTTTGGAGACTTACGCCGCACCGGCGAGCTGCCTCAGTAAGTGCGCTGCCCTGCTGCGACCTGCCATGGCTGTGAGTCTCAAAGTTTCTCCCTCTGCTCTGCGCTTCCTGTGCGCAGGACTTCTATGGAGGAGGAAACAGGCCCTTTACGTCAGCGAACCGATTTCCGGTGACGGGGTACAGTTTAAACTTTTGAAGTTTTTTACTCGGCGCGTGTTTTAATGGATTTATTTTGTTTATAAAATTTAACTTGTTATTACTTTTCATTCTCTGTCGTCTGTCTTCATTTTTAATTTCTGTAGATAGTCTAGTGTTATTTTCTGCTTAAATAAGAGTTATTTAACCCGACCACTTTATAATTTTGGAGTGTGTCTGTCAGAATTTGTGACCATTCAGTCAAAGGAGCCTTTGCGAGGTCAGACACTGATGTGGCCTGGTGCACAATTGACGATCCGATTACTTCCAGAGGTGTTCAGTGGGGTGAATGAATTGAGGTAAGGGCTCTGTGCAGGCCACTGGTTCTTCCACATCAAACTTATCAAACCGTGTTTTTATGGACTCGCTTTGTGCACAAGGGCATAGTCATGCTTCCCCAAATTGTTGCCATAAAGTTGGAAACATATAATTGTGTAAAATATCTTTGTATGATTTAGCATTAACATTAGCCTTCACTGGAACTATAGAACCTAGCCCAAACGCTGATAAACAGATCCAGACCATTATCCCTCCCCAATTTTCCCAAATTTCATTAACTGATTTGTGGCAAAGGTGGCGTGAAAGAATCAAACGGCACTTTTGCAACTAAGAAGTCTTATGACGTTGAGGATTTTTCTCTACTGCCATCCTCATCTCAGAGATGTTTCTGATCAGACACTGTGTCTTGAGCCTTAACAGTATGTGCCACTGACCCAAGCCGACGAAGAGTTAATGTAGTGCCAGAAAATGATTAGCAGCCAGTGGCAGAGGCGTCCGAATGGTAGAACGTTCCCTAAAACCGTGACAGCTAGCTTCTACTTATCTGTTAAGCAGGTTCATATTCGATAAAACCCGAGTCCTAATTAGATGCACTGCTTTCTGAATTAATAAAGAGGATTTCTTTGAACACTGTCTAAGTTTCATTTAGTTTGAGGTCAACATCGCAGACTGAATCACCGATCAGCCAGGGTTTGCTGCAGTGGCCCTAAATCCTTACGTTCTGCAAGCTGTTCATGACACTTACCGTTTAACATGTGTTTCAGTTCCCACTCAAATTCACGTTCCCCTTCATAAATCGAACCGTCGGCTGCGCACACTCACTAAACAAATCAATGGCAAGCAACACTGGAACTAAGGAAAGAGAAGGGAAAAGGTTTCAGAAAGACTGTACGGACGAAAGGTTGACACAGTCCGTAACAATGGCCATTTAACGTTAACCTTTCCTGAACCGTTTCTCTTTCCATCATTCCAGCGTTGGTTAGTGTTGAATTCTGTTCAGCGAGTGCACACGCACAAGGTTTGAGTTGTGACGGGAAGCTTGAATCGGATGCAACACCAGCGGCTTTATGGAGACTTGCAAGAATCCTAACTTAATCGGTCCACCATCTTTATGGCATATCGCAGCCTTGTGAGGTGATGCTGAGGATATTTAGCTCAGCGCGTGAGTGTGGTTATCTTCTTGCTCGAGGCTCCTATGCTTTCATATTTATGAGTGTGGCACAAGTAGGGCGTCATCGGGGGGGTGGTAATGTTGTTTGACTGATTTGCATACTGTGTCATCTGCGCCTATAGCAGAGTTGAGTCAGTGGGGTGCTGCAGAGGTGGAACTGACCAAAAATTACATTTTTACAGTTTGGAAAGATGTGTTCACATTTTAAGCAAGGCTGGTATATTTTATTATTACAGAGTAGTGCATTTCAACTGTTAATGAAAAAAAGGTCTTAGGGTGTAGTTACTCTTTAATCTGCACATAGCCACAGTGAGCAAGTACAGTACTCAAGTGTTCAAAGAATGAATGCACAGTCAAAGTCAATCTGCTAAACAGGAAGCAATATCAAGTCAAAATATTATTTATTGTGCTAAATCTCATAAGTAGCTATGTTTTGCAGTAAAATATATTAAAATTAATTCCAGCTATACCACCGTAGCATTAAAACTCAAAAAAGCTACTGATTCTGTTTTGGATGTACACCTTTGTAAAATTTGAATTAGCATTAGATCTTACACATATCTCATCATAATTTTAGAGTTCACAATTATCCAGGTGTTTTATTGTATTTCCGAATAACACTGACATGTAGTATCTTGACAGTACTAGTCAATGTAAAAGTGCTGCCAAAAAGATGCACATTGCTCAGCTGTCTTTACAATATGTATGAGTGGTGTTGTGTGAGAACAACAACACTTACACAGTAACTAGTTCATTTTAGTCAGATTGTTTCAGTAGTTTAATACTATGGTGTAATGGTAATGCTCTTTGTCATTCTGGGTTAGGGGATATTTTCAGACATTTGTCACAGTTGGTTCCACGGTGGTATTTAGCCTGAAAGTGGAGACTGAAATGTTACTGAGAACATTTTGCCACAGTCCACTCACCTTTAAAAAACTGTTTTACATTGGACTCTCTTCATTATTTCCCAAAGGACGAACTTACACACTTTGCCAGCACCACAAAGACCAGTTCTTTTTGCAGAAAAGCAAGTCTTTAATTAGCACAGTGACAAGTCAAGGCAGGTGAAAAAGACAGTGATAGTGAAGAAAGGAAGGAAAGCTGTTTTTCTCTGGTTAGATCCACAGTCTGTAATACTTAAACTCCTGCTTTCTGAACATGTTGTATTTTAATGTAAAGGAAAACACACATATTTAAGTAACACATAGTTCCCATGATTTTGTTGTTAAATCAGATTCAGCAACAAGGCAAAAGTACACACAAATTCCATTACAAACAATTTCTCACTATGCTTGCACACTAGAGCACTGTAGTAATATAAAGGGTTTAATGAAATGTGTACTTACAGTTTACACATGTAGCAAAAATAAAATATGTCTAGCTAAACATCCACTACTATGTCTGGTAATGTAACGCTCCATGTAAACCACATTTATATCTTTGTGCAATATTTTTCTATTGACTTGTGTACTACTGTAGCTATTATCTAAACCTAATTTCAATACTCTATGTCCTGTACATATTGTAGTATTGACAGTAAGCTGACTTGACTTGACTTGACTAATCCTAACTTTAACCCTTCCAGTTACAAAATATCAAATAGTAAACCTCTCTTTGTTGATTTTTGTGCTTTTTCTTTTTCAAATAAAATTATTGTTAAAAAACATTTTTTGGTGGAAACCAACCAAGCAATGTTTTAATTTCAAAAGATTTCTCTTTCCTGTCTCCCTGCTAAGAGTTTGTCACCACAAAGACTTGCATGCAGGTGTGATGCTCTGGACATTAAATTTAGACAGTTTCCATCAGTGTCTATGGCCTCATAACTCCTAGACTTAAAGGAGAATTCCAGTGACTTTTCATAATTTCTGCACAATTAAATTGTTATGAAGTGAACAAAATCATTCAGAGTGGGTTGATGTGAAAAGCTTCATTTTAGAGAAACTTACCCAGTCTGAATTTTGATTTTTGAACCAGATGCCTGAGGAATTTGTTGCCTGATGTCTGAGGCATTGTTTTACGATAGTTTTGATGTAAGGTTTGGCCTTTTACCTTCAGTAAGTTAATTTTACTAAACTTAAGTCCTTTTTTTTAATGTTGCTTGTATGTACTTTGTACTTGCTTTTAATTGTTTAATTGCTTGTAATTTGTGTTATGTCTTTAGGCTACTGCACTTTGTATCTTTTTAGCACTTTATTTTTATTTGTATTTGTTTTCACATTAATATTTTAAAGTTTCATTTTAATATTACTTTGTACTTTTTATGTAAATCATATTGAATTGCCTCTGTGTATGAGATGTGCTATATAAATAAACTTGCCTTGCCTAAAACATATGTTTTATGTAACTCTTACTAGGGGGGATGTACATGCAGGACATTGTAAGGCAAAATAGTGTCTAAAGAAAACTTTCTGAAATTTACCATTTTTCCATCATCAATATATATGTATGTATACTCAGAGGACACATGTAAGTTCACTAGTGATGTAAAATACTAAATTAAATGGCTATTTTTGTTTTGTAGACCCTGTGATCCCTGGTTCCTATCACCACCAAATCAAATTAAGGTAAAGAGTCTGTAAGTTTCTCTATGCTGATCAATTTCAAACCTCTTTGAATGACTTTTCAACAATTGAATTGAAACTTTTGAAAAATCAGGGACATTTCCTATTAAATGCCTATTCACATCAAATCTAAATGATTTTGTAAAAAAATGTAATTATTTTTTATGATTATAATAGATCGGTCAAGTACTTCTGTACAAGTACTTTTGGAGGCTATACAGCACATTTTCTAGGTATCCTCCGTCTGTATATGTAAGTGTGTGTATTAACCTGTCAACTCTGTGTTCTTATTTTTCATAAATCATGATCACCCTTGGCAACCAGGGAACGGAAGTGAATACATGGGGGAGGAAACGGCAATCACTATGAACTAGATGTGAAGTGACACAGTGGTGCGTGTGCCTGTGTTGCTGGACATAAACATAGATCTTTTACACATTCAACACATTGGTGTTTATGGGGTAGCCTTTAGCATTGTTTTGGATATAAGTGTACTTGTGTGTTTTTGTCAATTGTTTTATAGCAAGATTTCTGGTGCAATTTTTAGAATTTACCTCCAAACTGTTTTTTTTTCATCCTTGCAGCAAAGCTCAGAATAAAAACAAATGTGTCCAGGCCTTTTTCTTTCTCTCACTTACTTAGTTAGCTGGATAATTCTGGTGAACACTGCGAATAGCCTGTGTTGTGCTGTCTCAAAAAGTTGCAGTCCATCAGCTTTGCTTCAGTCTATCAACCAGCAATGAGCAATAGATTAGACAAAAGGTAAAAAAGGTGAACATTAGCTTATAGTGAAACACAAACAACAACCATAACACAAAGTAAGACAACAGTATGTGACATATAAATATGCAAGAAATACAAACTCAATTACAAAAAAGTTGGGACAGTAGGAAAAATGTAAATAAAAACAGACAGCAATGATTTGACCTTTTTGAAAACAGTACAAACACAAGCAATATGATGTTTCAACTAATTAACTAATGTAGTTGTGAAAGTGGAATTTTTAACAATTCTTCCTTGATATAAAATAGTCTCATTCATCATATATTGCGCTTCATAATGCACCACGTTTTTAATTGGTGACAGGTCTAGATTGCAGATAGGCCAAATATGAAGCCACGCTATTGCCACACGTGCAGAACATGGCTCAGCATTGTCTTGCTAAAACAAGCAGGGACTTTCCTGAAAAAGACATCGTCTTGATGGCAGCATATGTTGCTCAAAAATGGTATGTACCCCTCAGCATTAATGGTGCCTTCACAGATGTGCAAGTTACCCATACCACTGGCACTAACATGTCCCTGTACCATGGCAGACTCTGGCTTTTGAACTTTGCATTGGCTACCTGTTACCTATTCACATGTTTAGGAAAGTTCTAAAGTGGGTGTTTTCACAAAGCAGCCTGAATCTCTTAGCACTACTCAGTTCACAACAGTGCTGGATCAATTTGAATATTAGTTCAATTTGAAGGTCTCTTTTAGTTTGATATTTTGGTCTCAGGTAGTTTATTAGGTCCTGCCTACTTGACTGGATGAACCAACATCAGCCAACCAACATCTACATAATGTATAATGTTATTTTCACTATTTTATTCTGTAAAGACAGTTTGTGTCTGCCTTTTCTTTCTTTTAACCAAACTCTGTAGGCGTTTGGGAACTGAGGAGACCAATTGCTGTAGTTTGAAAAGTGAAATGTTTTCCCGTTCATGCTTAATGTAGTATTTCAGCTGCTCAACATTTCAGGGTCTCCTTTGTTGTATTTTTCATTTCATAATGTGCCAAATGTTTTCAATGGGTGACAGGTCTGGACTGCAGGCTGGCCAGTTCAACACCTGGACGCTTACTATGGAGACATGCTGTTGTGATGTCTGAAGAATGTGGTTTGGCATTGTCTTGCTGAAATAAGCAGTGGTGGATGAAGTACACAAATCATGTACTTGAGTTAAAGTAGAGATACCCAAGGTAAAATATTACTCCAGTAAAAGTAGAAGTCCTCCCTTTAGACCTCCACTTGAGTAAAAGTACAAAAGTATTTGCCTTCAAAGTATCAAAAGTAAAAATACTAAAAGATTAATTTTGACTCTAATGTCCTATTACCTTTTTTGTCACAAGAATCTTGCTTCATTAACTCATTTTAGGTGAAAATACTCTGTCACTCTTGGTAAACCAATCTTTTAATAGAATGTCATTATTTAGTCTGTCACTGATGTCTATTAAAATAATCATAAGCACAAAACACTGAAGGCAAACAATTTCCATTAGGTAGAACCAAGAGGCTAAGAAAAGCTTGTTTAAGATTTATTTGCAAATTAGTTCCAAGTTTAAGTTTAATAAAAATGTTGCATCTGTAGGTCTCTGTTCATAAACATAAACTAGAAAAAAACAAATTTACTATAACATGAAAGTGTTTGTATAAATTCAGAAAAAAGACACATGGCAGTCACAAGTGCATATGTGTACATATTTCTATATTGTGGTCTATTTACACAAAGTTAGGTTAGTTCCACCATTTATGTTGGCATAGGCACTCGCAAAATTTTACATTGCTGCACTGACGTTGAACCGTACGACAGCGTTTTAGGGCCACTGTTAATAAAAATAAAAATAGTTGACTTTGAGAATAAAGTCGTAATATTTCGAGAAAAAAAGTAGAATTACGACATTAAAGTGGCATTAATACCAGGAAAGGGAGCAATATTGTGGCCAAATGCTTTGCAAAGGGAAGGCAGCACCTCCTCCTGTTAATATTTCTCAAAATATTATGACTTTTTTCTCTAAATATTACAATTTTATTCTTGAAGTCTACTATATTTATTTTAATGAACAGTGGCCCTAAAACACCGTCATTGAACCATATGCTTGCATTGGGTAGGTATGTCCAACAGGTCAAAACAAAACAAAGTGTGCTCTGTACCCTGATTGGTGTTCTTGCTTCACGCTTCTTTGTTTTGACTTTGAAAAATGTTACGTTTTTATACACACATAAGCCAAAAGGAATGACAGATTTCGCATAATGTAGTGGAGTAAAAAGTAAGATATTTGACTTTGAAATGTGGTGGAGTGAAAGTAAAAAGTCGCCCAAAATAGAAATACTTCAGTAAAATACAGATACACAAAAAAAGTACTTAAGTACAGTAATGAATTACATTTACTTTGTTACTGCCCACCACTAGACATAAGTAAGGCCTTCCCTGAAAAAGACGCCGTCTGGAAGGCAGTATTTGTTGCTCCAAAACCTGTATATATCGTTCAGCATTAATGGTGCCTTCACAGATGTACAAATCACCTACACCCATCATCTTTTTTCTCAGTACGATCACATTAACATGAATTATTCAATGACTACATAGTCAGACTACACAGAAGTGGAGAATTTGTTCCACTATTTCCTCACTGTGGAAACGTCCCCTCTCCTTGCTGTATGGCTCCTTAGAACACATTTAAAGAACTGATCAAGGTCACAGACGGGGGCTGCAAGCAGGACCCATATGAAAGAAAAATCAGATCTCTTTAATATCTATGTCGTTTCCCCCAGACAGCAATGAGATTAGAAAGTCTCCTGCCACTTAGATATTTCTTTTGAGCAAAAACCCCAGGAATCTCACATCTCCCATTGAGTTTTGTAGACATTTTTAGATGGTTGTACTTAGATTGCCAAAGTGATAACACTTTAACTAAAGAGATGAATCTGAACTTGAACCATTTCTCTTCCAAGACTAAGAGCCTTTTCAATAGAGATGCTGTGAGTAACTATTATAATCTTCATCTAGACCAGAAATATCTCATATCTCCAATAGAATCTTAGCAGAAACATCTGTGACCATTTTGATAGTGTAGCGTCAGTCTCCTAATCCACCAAAGATCAACTTTTGAGCAATTTTCCTCTGGTTATAGAATTGAGGAGGTATCAGTTAGAGTAACTATTAATTAAAGTGAGAAGCTATATGATGTTTTTTTTCTAGCAAGCTAATGTTGCAGGTTGTCAATCAACGACCATCCACTGTTTGAATTCAAGTGAGAGAAGCGAGCTGTTGTGCCACTGGTAGGCCTATATGTTGATATTAAAGCCAAGGTGCTATAAAATGATCGAAGATATGATGAGAAAAAGGGGGGGGGGCGGGGGGGGGGGCTTGGTCTCATTGGGTGCTCTGATATTAGAATTGCCCCTGGTTACTCCATGCATATAAATGCATCACTTCAGTAGCATGCACAGCTTGAACATACACTGCTCCAACATACACACACGCACTGTAAAAAGTGGGACTGGGGTTAATTAATATTTACTAAATAACTAATAGTAACCTTTACATAATAAAAAAGATTATGTTCAGTTAGAAATCAAACTGAGCTGAGTTCAAATAAATTTGAATGATTTATTAATTGCATTTTACACAGTTTTGGTTGAATAAAATTAGCTGTGACACATTGAGTTTTACTTACTTATGTTTATATCTATCTATCTATATATCTATCTATCTATCTATCTATCTATATATATATATATATATATATATATATATATATATATATATATATATATATAAGGAACAACAACGATGCAGAAAATTGATAGATTTTACTTATTGGGAGGTCATTGGTTTTAATCACCTCACACTTGCCCAATGCATTTTGTGCCTCATGGACACCAGTGACTACATGTTTCAGAGGTTGCAGTCTTCCAACTTCCCAAAAGTAAGACCTTTTTAATTATTTCTAGGAAACAAACAATTTCCAAGTATGTTGCTGTAGCATTTGCCCATTCTTTTAAGTTACTGCAGCTTAACAAACATGTCAAATTTCCTGTACTGTAAGTCAAATTTAAGCTAGCAGCTAGCTAATGCCTTTTAGTTTTGATTAGTATAGAAGCAGGGCATGGACTTAATTACAGATTTTGCTGTTACGGTACGGATAGAAGCGAAGCTCTCTGATGTGTCGGCAAAAAACATACGTGAAGATTCCACCCATATTGAGGAGAGCAGATTACACCCGTATTGAGCTCCGAGCCATCACCAACGTTTCACCGCGGAGGTGAAAACTGCGCGCCTAGAGCCGCTTCTGGAAACTTCGAAAGGAATCAAATAGATCTGGTGAATAAGTTATTGGTTTATTTGACGTAGCAGCAGTTTTTCAATCGGATATTTATTCAAACCTAATTCTGTAATTTTTGAATGTTGAACTCTTCATATGTCAAAACGAAAATAAGCATCACTTGCTAACAGTTAAGTTAGCTAGGTTAGCTAACTAGCTCACTAACAAGTCTCCTCTTTTAGATGACTGCTCTCACAAAATATGGGAAAGGTACCTTTTTAGCTAAATTACAATTTAAAAGTGAGACGGTGTTGAATTTATGGTATAATAAACTACTTACAAGTACACTTGTTAAGCTAGAGTTGCTAGCTAGCTAAATAACCTAGCTAGCTTAGCTACTTATGTGCGAGCTTAGACTAGGTTAATAGCTCTGCTGGACGACCGGTTCACTCCGGCTAACCTGTGCTGACCATGATGGGCTCAAATCTGAATGTGAGATGTCGAGTGACCCAAGTATATGTATCTGCAGCCTGGAGAACCAGTGGGCGTAACGAATGGGCGGAGACACTGTCAATCATTTC